GGAGTGTATGTACCAGTCACCAATCTCCACCAATCCTTCACCCCCAACCTGAGAAAGTAAAGGGCACACTTGACCTTCTGGTCAGCAGGGCAAGAACATGTGAAGAAACAGCCCTCCACATCAGACAACCACCTCATCGCTATAATTGGGTCCCTGAACCCATCACACTTCGGGGGCTTCATATTGTCGATGTCCCGATACTGGAAAGCTCTCTCCCCTCGAACCCCCACGACATCAACAGCCGTGGTAGTTGCAACAACAACATCCTCAGAGAGTACAACATAGCGATCATCGAATAGCTCAATCATGACGGTCTTGATAGACTCAAACAATTTCAGAATAGATCCTCTAACAACAGTAGCCACCTCAGCGACAATCATCTCTCGCATCTGATCGTCAGTCAACCCTGGCCTATCCTAGCCACTCGCTCCAGATCCAGATCTAGATCCTCTTGTGAACACCATACTGAAATAAACCAAGATATACATCAGAAAGGCCATAATTCATACTTCTATAACCATCATGACAAACTAAACCTCAGGGTTTGTGACTTCCTTACTACGCGTACGGGTCCTGTACTTTTAGTAGTACGGGCCCATACTACCTTCTACACTTACCTGTGTTTGTCTCAAGGATCATCACAAGCACCCGAAACAAATATACAATTAGGATACACATACATCATGTGCTTACTTTCCTGAGAGTGGCTAATTATTTCTCAACCGGCCTGCTATAACCACATACTTACTCATGAAACTTCCACCAACCCTGTAGTCACTCGTGCATGCTAATTATACACAACGATGGATCATATAGTCAGTCAAATACTTGACCATACCCTAATCCCTTCATCAGAAAAGAACACGACATAAGTCTAAATCAAACATTCTTAGGCTATAGAGTCTTAATTATGTACAACTATGATGCCCACACTAAGCAACTACAATAATGATGTCAATTTCATATAACATACAAGAAGTCCCCTAGGCTATCAGGAATCATACATCAGACAATTCTATCATGCAATCCTTGAACATCCCTAGCCTATCACTAGCATGCAGTTCTATCATACTCATAAATAACAAATAACAGTGTGGGTAAGTTAGGGTGTACTTTTTTTTGCTTCGGCTGATCGTACACATCGCATACTTCCTTGGTTACTTTTGAAAATAATTTTGAGAACCATTTGAAAACTTTTGCAGTTCTTTAGTTTGAGTATGGATTCACACAATTTTTCATCAAATTCTCTCAAACCAGGGCTTTGATACCAACTTGCAACATCCCAAAAATCTAGGTAAAAAATTTCATTTTTAAATCAAGTAAAAATTAGTGTTTTCAAATAAAATCTCAGATCAGCCAATCGTTTACAAAATATTGTTCTCAAACATAGAAATCATATATCAGAGTGTCCCAAATCAAAGTCATCAAAACCAAGAGGATGTGGACGATCATGCCTTTGCTTTTCCCACGGTCATTCGAAGTACCTGAAACATAAAAATGAAACTGTAAGCCAAAGCTTAGTGAGTTCCCCCAAAGTACCACCACAAAACATATAACAACATGCATGTTGGGGTCCACAACTAACATACTGGATTACCCCGGAGTCCACAACATGAGTTTGGCTTCCCTTCAGGCCCACAGCTCATGCCTGGCTTACTCTCGAGCCAAGAACATAAGTCTGGCTTGCCCATTGGGCCCATAACTTATGTCTGACTTGCTCCTAGGTTTATTGGCTTTTGCACAAAGCAATAACTCCTCAACCCAACCATACTATGTCGACATACACATAACAAATAACATATTACAGTAACAGATAAACATATAACCAGTCAATCAAAATAACAGGCATATCTACAAATTACTATCGCATACAACATCCTATATACCAGGACTCGGTACTAACAAATCAATACAACTTAGCAACATCCTCTAAACCAGGAAACATAACCCAATGGGACATCATTGGTGCCTTCGACCCGCAAGTACAGTGAGGAAAACTCACCTTACAGTCTGAAATGTAGCTAAACCGATCACTACTCTACTTGATGGCTCTACCGGTCACCTATATAATAAGCTGTGACCCAAATTCAATTACTACACAAATTAACCAAAATACCCCTAAGCCAAACATGGTCAAAGTCAACCCTCAATCAAAAGTCCTCCAGCTACTTGTCACGTCGTGACCCAGTGGTCATGTCGTGACCTAATAAGACAGAATAGTCGAGGAATCTCATCCTCACGTCGTGACACACAGGTTCTCACGTCGTGAGGACACTGTGGACAGAAAAACTGAATAAAGTTCTTAATCCTTTTGGACAAGAAACCAAAACTTCCAGGGTGTCTTATCTATTCCATAACATCATAAGAATCGTGGCTTTTTAGACATGCATGTCCAAACACAAATTAGGGCACAAAAGGAAGAAATGACACTAAGTCTCATACACGAGTCACAAGACTCCTCCATAATTTAGATCTAGCACCTATTTGATCAAAGGGACGTTGGAGATCCATAAAGTTGGCAACTTTATGGATTCCAACCTCCATATCATCAAATCCATGAAGGAAAGTGCACAAAAACCTAGATCTAAGCTTATAAACCCATAAAGATATGATCTTGAAAACTCACAAAGGTCCAGAAGGAGTGAAAATGAATGATGGAGAGGCTTGAGTGCTGAGGTGATGGCTACATGTTCTTCTTCTTCTTCTTCTCTTTTTCTAGAAATGACTATAATGAGCTCAAAATCAACTATAGAGTGCTAGGGCTCAAAGGGATGTGTTAAGAGGTGATGGTGGCTGAGGGTGGGCTAACCCTAGCCCTCACTTCCCTTTAAATATGGACACAAGCCTCAAAATTAGGGTTTTCCTCTCAAATCAGCTTCACATTGTGAGCCATATATGCTCAGGTCGTGAGCCCAAAGATGATGCACGTTTTCAAACACACCCCTCACGATGTGGCAATCATAGCTCAAGTCGTGAACTAGGTGAGACTTCCAAATTTAACTTAATGAAATGATTACCTACACTGGGTGTTACATATATTTGTAGTTACAAGTATGAAATACACTTGTTATAGTACTAAAATATCTCACATATACCCTTGAGTATGAAAGATGGCCTCTACTTTTATATGCTGACATATCATCTTGGCGGTTTCATCTATTGATCTTCTATACGTGATTTTTTCTCATCCAAGTCATGAGTTTTCTATGTATGATTTTGGAGCACTTAACTATTTTCGCGACATGTCCGCTTCCCAGGATGAAATGCAACCCAAGCACCACTCTTGTTGAACCCATCCGGAAAATTGCTTTTGGGGATCAACCGGTCGAGGAAAACAGATCTGGTGACCGATAGAAAACAAGATCGGAAAAGATATGAGAAGGAGTTGATTTTCCGACGAGGTACTTTTTTCGGATGAGGGGGATGAGAGGCAAAAGGAGATGGTTAAGAAAGAGAATAGACAAACAGAGGTGGTTTGACGCGTCAGTTCAAGAAGATGAGAGGAGCTGGTATCCGGCGAGCGGAGGTGGTTTCCGACGAGCTAACGAGCAGGGGAGAAAAAAAGGATGTAAAAGCATATATGTAGAGAGTGGAGAGACAACGTTCTGTTGGTGGTCTGGACATTCTGACGGTGCCCCGGTCGATCCGACGACGGTCCAATGGTCCGACTGTCAGTGCCGGTCTGGTGGTATTGGTGGAGCAACTTCAAGTTAGATGTAAAATTATGAGGGGTGGAGTATTCTTTTTCGATTTTCTAAATAAATAAATGATTTTTTTGATGAATGGTGGAAAATTATTCTCATTAATTCTCAAATCTTAGAATGTTCTCATTTGAACATGCTTATATATATATATATATATATATATATATATATATATATATATATATATATATATATATATATATGACCAGGTTATTTTGTTTCTTATATTTATTTTGTGCTAGAATGCACCAATAGGAATTTAGTAAATTAAATATTTATTTAATTAAATAAATATAGATATTAAATGATTTCCATAATTATATGTATATTAAATGATATCCATAATTATAATTCTCTTTTTATGGAAACTAATTAAATCTGTTATTAATGTCAGCAATAACATTCTTTCATAAAGAATTCGCATCTTGGTTTTTCAATATGAGTTCGTATTTTGTTTCAGGACTCACTCACTTAAAATACAATAAGTTGCATGGAATATGAAGAACGAGAGTATATTCTACTAGAATACACTCTCATTCTGCTGGAATACACTCTAATTCTTGTAGATATGAATTCATTCTGAAAGAATATTATTGTTGACATTAATGACGAATTTAATTAGTTTCCATAAAAATGAGTTATAAGTATGGATAACATTTAATATATACATATAATTATTACTAAATTCTTATTGGTGCATTTTAGCACACAATAGATGTGAGAAACATTTGAAGCGACCTCTCTCTCTCTCTCTCTCTCTCTCTCTCTCTATATATATATATATATATATATATATATATATATATATATATATATATATATATATATATATATATATATATATATATTATATATATATATATATATAGAGAGAGAGAGAGAGAGAGAGAGAGAAAGAGAGAGAGAGAGAGGTAGATTCATATGTGGATACACATCTATTGTGTGGACATAAGGACCAATAAAATTTTAAAAATAATTAATAAATAATGTAGGGGTATTATAGTAACTTAGTTATAATTAATTATGGTAAAATTAAAACTAAATCATTTGATATCCCTTAAAATTAGCATACAATTTACAACTATATATGAACCAGACGTATCCTCCTCTTCGCCCCACCTAGATAACCCTACGGCGACAACAAATGCCTCTGCATCATCCCTCACCAACATCTCTTCATTGCCGGAAATTCTAATCAGTGAAATTCGTTGACCCAGATCTTCACATTCATTGCCGTAAATCCTTTAAAGCCACCACTTTCACCTCCTCCTCCATCTCAAACTTCTCTCATCAACCATGGTTTGTGCTCGCGATTGGCCTAAACCGGTTGTTAGAGTGCAATCGTTATCTAAAAGCGGGAAACCAGTAATTCCCGACAGATACATCAAGCCACCACCGGATCAACCCGTTTTTAACTCATCTTCATCCGACGACATAAACATACCTGTTATCGACCTCGACGGACTGACCAACGATGATCTCACCCTCTGGGAATCTACTTTTAATGAAATATCGGCAACGTGCCTTGAGCGGGGGTCCTTCCAGGTGATCAATCATGGCTTGAAGACAGAACTCGTCGACGGAGTTCGGGATATTTGGCGGGAGTTCTTTCATGAACTGATGGACGTGAAGCAACAATATGCTAATTCACCCCAAACGTATGAAGGTTATGGAAGCAGATTAGGACTTGAAAAAGGGGCAATACTTGATTGGAGCAATTATTATTTCCATCACTATCTTCCTCCTCCTCTAAAGGATCACAACTGATGGCCTGCGCAACCTCCTCTAAAGGATCACAACGTTGCCCTCAAGATTAAACGAGGTATGCTCCTAATATCTAATTCATGTGTTTTGAACCTTTTTTTATGCATCAAAATCATATATTTATACATTTGCGACTTTTGGTATCTTTCAAGTGGGGGCAGCAAAAAAATTATAGAATAAATTTTGATGCTTAATTGTGTTCCACTTAAGATTTTTTTGAACAATTCTTATTCTTATGAATCAAAAGTGTTTCCATGAAAATGTTGGTTAGTTTTGTCAAATTATTTGTTTTTCGTTTTGGATTATATTAATCGGGTTTCACTTAAGATTTGTTTGAAGTTACGCGAGGTGGATTCGCTGTTAAAACAAACAATTTTGATTTGAGATTTTTGGCAAATTAAAGTTTTTCAATTATTTAATTTACGGATAATATAGGGTTAACTAAACTTTGATTTGATTTTTTATTTCTTATTCTTTATTATCTATATATAAATCTATTCAATTTTACTATTTACTTAATTAGCACGAGTAAAACATATGGTGTGTTTGCTTTTATTTGATAATAGTTGATTGTTTGTTTAATCCTCATACAATTGGTTGATTCTTTTTCTAGACCTACAAATCAAGTGTATTCTGTTAGAATTGTATACACTGTGCATCAATTCTGGGAAATGAAGTTCGAAGAATATACTGCATAAATGAAAGTGATTCTTAGCAACAACATTTTTTTAGAATGTATTAGTATTTTTGTTAGATTTTGATGTTTTTAATTTTTAATTATTAGTTTTAGTATTTAATAATAAATGTCATTCTTAACCATTATTAGTTGTATTCTTTCAGAATGATTGTAATTTTATTTTTCAGTCATATTCTTTAAAAATGAATGCAAATTTTAACAATTGTTATTCGTATACTTAACCATTATTAGTGGTATTATTCTTTTCATACAAATTGTTATTCTTGATAAATATGTTGTAATGTTACATTATGCCAAGAAAGAGTTTTGTTTAAAAAGAAAAAACTAAATTCATCTTTATAAGCATATTCAGTTAGGTGTTGTTTGTTTTTGTCTGCAAATCTTCTTGACCACTTCTGTCTGCGCCGTGCAGACCACGCACAGACATTAGGCTTTGCAGACTGTTTGTTTTTTTGAAGACTGCAAACCTAAAAAGGTCTGCGCGTCCTCTTCTTGGCGCAGACATGGAGCAGAGTGTTCAAACATCTTCTAGACTAAAAAACACATATCTTGTTAATTTTTTTTAAACTTAGATTTATTCTTACTTTATATGATAAACAACTTTTAATAAAAAAAAAATTACAATAATGGTATTAGAATAATGGTATTAGACATTTGTAACAAATTTATAAATAAAGATTTAATTACAATAATGGTATTAGAAGCTGTTTATATAGATATGGGAAAAAATCTTAATATTGTCTTATATTTTCTGTGCTAATTTTTATAAAACATTATTTAGTACAATATAATTTATTTCTTGGGAAAAAAAATATTTATGCCAAGTTTTTAATTGATTTAAATTAAAAAGTAAAATGAAAACTTTGAAAATTTTCATTCAAAATCAAAATTTATTTCCATTCATTTTATGTGTTAAATTATTTTATCCATAATTACAACGTTTAGGTATAACATTGCAACCAAAGTTTGTTGGTTTTTATCAAATATACACGTTAATTCGTACCATTTTATTTTTACTTTTTATACAATAATACATAAAAGTTGATATACATTTGTTAATTATCTATAATAAAGTTATAAAATTATTGAAAAATATTTTTAGTTTTTTTTTAAAAAAAAACATTTTAATTAGATTTTAGTTTATTCAAGCAGCCTACAGATGTTAAAAAACAAACAATCTTCTATTTAGATTGCAGACGTTTGGTCCACCTCTTCTACTGCAGAGGTCAGCAGATGTGGTCCGCAGACTGCAAACATTTTGCCTCAGAAAAAACAAACAGCACCTTAGAATGTACACCATACTTTGAAATATATTCTTTCAGAATGTCTGAATTAAGAGAATAAATATCCTCTATAATAAAAAATTTAAAATAAGATAATCAATTATCCCTTAAAATCAGAAATTTCAATTTTTAAATAAAGTTCAATTTACTAAAATGCCCTTATAAATGATATTTGTAGGATTATATGATACATGCTATTCCATTGTAATATCATAGACATTCAATCATAACTCATTCATTTTTTTCATCTATTGGTCCATAATTGTCTTTACAACCACACAATACATATCATCCACATTATAACCAAACCCTATATATATATATATATATATATATAATATATATATATATATATATATATATATATATATATATTATATATATATAGGTAGGTTCAAATGTGGATTGACATCTATTAT